AAACGGACGGACGAACAATTTATATCGTTAGTCTAACTTATTACATTTAAAATTATAACTCTAATTCAAGCAGAATAGCCTATTGTCAACAGGTTATTAATGAAGAAAACCCGTCTGGATAACAGCAGACTGACTGCTCGTAAAAAATACGACAGGTCTGGACCACTCGTGAATTTTGTTCGTTCTGAAAAAAATCTTAGAATACGAAAACATTGGTGAATGCCACAAATTCTACTAAATCACTCGTACGCACAATTTAAGAACAAATCTGTGCGTATGAACGGTTCTTGCATGAGGCCCATTAACAATGCTTCTTGGTAATCAATCTTAAACTGTTGGGAAGCGTGTTAATTTCCCTTTTAAATGGTGCCACATTTGTAAGGATCATGGATTTGCGGGATGAGCAGTAGAGCAGAGTATGTGGGTTGCGCAGGTAAAAATTAGCCAAATCTTCTCTGTTAATGCTTATTGTATTGTTGCTACTGACTCTTGTTTTGAGCTTCTGGTACCCAAAGGTGCTGCTAATCAGGTGCCTGGTGTAAGATTTATTGCCAAGAAGTCTTGTTACAACAAAGAAAAAATTTACCAAACTCAARTTTCCTTATTTTTTGTGCTAAGTGTAGGAAAATAATCACATAGGCCATGTAAAACATTGGATATTGACTATATTGCATCAAAAGATCACCTCAGTCCTACTGAAATAAAATACTTTGAATGTAATGTCATGTTCTGAAAAATATGTTCATTTTCATTATTATTGTATTTCTTTAGTGTTTAATTTTAAGTTTTAATAGGAGACTGGGCTTTCATATGGGTGTTGTGTTCAGAAGTTTCAACAGAAAAAAAGCAAGCTTTATTATTTATTCTATTTATTTGCTCATGTATTAACTTTTTTGATCTTAAATTTGGACTCCAAACAATTTTTTTTTCAGACAGTTAATTTAACCTCATGTTGGAGATTCTGCTCGCTCAAGCCCCTGATGAAACATTTGCTGTTAGGTTCAAATTCACAGGATATTAAGAGGTGTAAAAAAAGACAAGTTGCAGCTTTTAATTTATTAAAAGGCTGTTGTTGTATTTTTTTTCTAACAAGCAAAAAAATAGAATATATATATAATTTAATATATGTATTAAATAATTACCATAAACTAAAGAGCCTTTTAAGACAATTTATTCAAAACCCATGTTAAAAAAAATCAATTACCCCAAGAGAAAAACGGCTTCATACAATCTTAGAAAAGTTAACCAATAAATCTATATATGGTTATTTAATAT